GGCGCTGTTGGTAAGTCACGCCATGGTATCAACTGACGTTGTGCATGTTATAAACCCTCTTCTCTAGATATTCAAAATTGTGGTCCCTTATGTCATGCTGGGGGTCACATTCGCCGAATTGAATAAGGCGCTGCAGCTCCCACCTTTCTCACTCCTCTTGGTCGCCCTGGCCGTGGTAGACGGTATGTCGTAAAAATTATCTAAAAATACGGCGGCCGCCTAACCAATATCCTAGCTATGACATTATCCTTCTTCTTCCAGGTGAAGGACACAGGGTCGTGGCTGGAAATTGGCCAGTCCATTACCTTTTTCTGCGTAACATCTTCGCTGCTTGTGTGGGCCGCTTTAATCAGCGCCATGGGTGAGTATCTTATGGCAGGTACTACCCGGGATACTATCGCTGTTAAGTCAGAATAAACGCCCCCTCAATCAAATTTTGGCAACTCTCAGCTGTCGCAATAGCACATTTACAACGGTTCCTTCGTTTAGCCCCTTATCGTATGATTCGGGCTACCTTCCAAATCGGGTAGGTTGAGCTGATTCCGGAAGAAGGTGATTTTCTTCCGTTAGGTTTAACGACTATAGATCTGGCTCAATGCCATAACTTTCTGCTCCATATGCTTCCACATTCCCAGCTAACGTCCCTCGGCATGGTGGGCCAACATGGAGTGATGTATAGAGGAAGCACGGGATAAGCCTACTATTGTTTTCGTTTGACGGCTACTGACAATAAGACAAAAAGCGAGGACCTCATCACCTCCGATTTCGACGACCCCTCGGAGCCATTTGCTAACCCATCTTCCGACTGTCAATCATTTCCAGGAACCTTCTCTCGCAATCCAGGCTCAGTGGACATGGGACACTCAGGATTTGTGTATTTAACCTGAGCGAATTTTTGATGGTCGACGCCCTTAAGTCCGACATACTCCTCATGTCCGGATCAGAGCAGTACCAGTCAAGGCGCCATTCGTTGGCTCCAGCTGCTTTGAACGTTCGGGACTCATACTCGCCTCCAGCATACCACCGGGATTCTGGAACCAGCCGACGCTCTGGTAGAAGGCACTCACAACAAACGTTGCCTGCCTACTCTCAGGCTACTGCACTCGACTTTGGCCGACGGTTCGAGGCGGGCCGCGATCCGCATCATGGGGGCCAAACTCAGCAACATGAATACCATCTTTCTTCGAACGATAACGAGGATGGGCCTTGGGCGACATTGAGCTTGCTTACTCGACCCTCCTCGTCGCAGAAGAACCCTCGGTACTATGGTGGAGACATGGTTGCTGGGGTCGTGGAACTGGACCTTCAGCGGTCGTTAACAGTCAACTCCGTCACTTTGACTGTGTGTATACACCATTAGCTTTCGGTCTTGTCAATATGCTTATTTCATTTGTTCTCGGTAGCTGCGGGGGCAGTTCATCACCAGCGCACTCAGCGATGGGAGCTATACATTTCTGAATCAGACGATCACAGTATGGGACAAGAATGCCAGTGAAACCCAAACCGGCAATAGACCTTCCCCTCTCGACATTGACCGCGGCAAGAGGAACAGATTCAACGCAAGGCTCCAGGGAAAATACTCATGGCCGTTCTCCTTCCCATTTCCAGAAGAGATATGTCTTCTGCAAAAAGGGAGTAGATCGCGGCAACAAATCGTTCCGACGCCTCAGACTTTCCTAGAGAGAGGAACCAATGCAAACATCCAATATCAGCTAGTTATGCACATCACGCATGGTCTCTTCCGCTCCAACTCTAAGTACGTGCACTTATCCAGCAGAAGCTGTATCCTTTTGATTGACCAGATTGTGCAAAGACTTCAAGCGAACATCAGCTACATTCCTTCAATAACACCCCCACCACCTTCTTTCCTTCGCCAACAGGCCTATCAACACGGCGGTCACTTATTTCCGCCTTCGGAAGACCCTCAAGGATGGCACATCAGCCCCTCTCAGCCTTTCTCCGTGATATACAATGGTGTATCGTTTGACCTTACTTATTCTGTAAGTTGCCTCCAATTCAATTCAATCCAACACTTCAGGTTTATCTCACCCATCTTGCCGCTAGGTTTCTCTAGCCAGCCCGGTATGCTTACTTTAATCAGACAGCATCGAAATTGTGCTTATTGAATTCGGTTAGTTGTCCTATACCAGGGGAACGGTTATCCCTTGCTTTGTGAAAATTGCCAGCGCGCTGCCCATGCCTCTCAATCTAGCCTCACTTCTTCTTCCTACCAACGACCCGTTTCTGTCGTTAGTTCTATATCGCCGCATCCGCCATCTGCAGAATAGTCAGCAGGCAGCAACACGGACAGTAGTAGCTCTACTATCACTATCACATCAAAACCAACCCAACGACGCGCTGGAGTCGGTACACGTCGAAGAATTTGGGAAGGCAGTCTTCTGGGAACCACAGTCGAACGCTAACAGACTGGGGCCAAGTAACCAGGTGTGCAACTTGGAGGGTGAAATACATTTGTCCAGCGAGCTCCAGCCATCTTGTCAGGTGGGCTTCTTCACTGTTGAGGTGCGTTGAATCCCCTTTATACCAGGCGATTGAACTAAACGTTATGCGATACATAGTATTTCGTGTGCTTGATGGCTTCTAAGGAAGCCACAAACACCCGTATTCCAGTGTCCCTGCCGTCCAATGGGCCAACATTTCCTCTTCAACAAGAATTCTCGTCGTCACACAACCTCCAGCCTGTCTCTGAACAAACATGTCCCGTGCAAATCGGGACCTTCCATCTTACTGGTCCTCTCCCTACTCCATTCACAGTGCCATCCACCTCGCGCCATGCAGGCTCTCGGTCTCCTAGATCCGTGGGCAGAGCCAGAGGTAATGGCTCGGAGGTGCAAGAATTAGAGGTGGTCAATCGCTTTGGCTAATCTCAGCTTCCTTTTATTATTCGAGAGCAGGTCTCAAATTTCGCATTTCATTCGTCTTTCACATGATTTTCCTTCTTTCAACCCAATCTCTTCATCTTTCCGCCACATATACCCAACATATGATACCCATGGACACAAACACGATTCCTTGCCCTTTGATTTAGTAGTACACGTATTATACCCCCTGACGAAACATTCCACGTTTAGCTATTACGCTCTCTTCACGAACTCGCCACATTGTAGACGAAGTGTATTACCAGATTTACCACCGTGTCTATGTATCCAGACTAACTTTGAAATGACCCATTACTTTATTGACCTTCTCCCTGTCAGGCACAAAGGTCGCACAGCCACTTTCGCGATGCGACGCGTTGTGCCAGCAACATTCGTGTTTTGTGAGATCAAAGTCAAACTTGAACGCCATTTTTCATTTCCTGAGAACTGGATCCCTTACTATACTCTAAAGCCTTCGTACATCTATCTTAAGAAGAAAATATTTTTTCCGAGATCCAGCTCATTACGCAGTGGCCGAATTTGGGGTGCAATGTCCGACATTCCACAAGAAACGTCGGGAAGTTCAACCCAGACACAGCAGCAGTATTATCTTCTCAAGGCAGAACCAGATTCACGAGTTGTTAAAGGGAAGGACGTCAAGGTGCGCGTAGTCTGATGCTAATTTCTCCAGCTACTGACACCCCAAGTTCAAAAGTTCAGTGTCGAGGATTTCGAGAGCGTGAAAACATCACCATGGGAGGGCGTCCGCAACTTTGAAGCTCGGAATATAATGAAGGAAATGAAGGTTGGCGATAAAGTGTGTTAACAGTCCGCTGAGAATGTTTGCAAAACTCACCATCTCTTGTATCAAGGCCCTTTTCTACCATTCCAATTGCAAGAGTCCAGGTAGGGACCGCCCGTTGACCTTGCGGGCCAACTTTTATGCCATGATTGCCATGTTGCTAAACTCCATTTTAACTCTCAGGAATTGCTGCTTTTGCTGAAGTACACATTTATTTGTTCGACCAAGTGAGACTGGGTCCTAACTGGTCATACTACTAGGTGTCCAAGGAGGCATACCCTGATTGTACGCGGTTGCTTCGCATTTCCTCTCGAACAATGCCTGACTGATACTTTCATCAGTTACTGCATGGGATACTACACATCCCTACTATGACCCGGTAAAAGAAATACACTCGTCCAGCTTTACATGGGATGTTGACCAACCCTCAAATCGCAGAAAACCGACCAGAACAATCCCAAGTGGTTCATGGTGGATCTAACATTTGTTTCCCAGACAAAAAACTTTGTGCCGCTTTCACTTCTGCGCTACATCGCAAGCATTCGCCTCTCTGGAAGCGACGACGATTCAGGTATTCCTTCCGAGCTTTCCTATCTTGGGAGAAGCGGGATCGAAGCCATTCAAGGTTCACAAACCGTTTCCTGTTAACCGAGAACCATCTACTTACGGTCGATTAACATAGGGATGGACCTGGTAACCCGCGGAAGGCTAAGCGTACAACGGGTTAGGCAACGAGAATGGGAGGCTATCCAGACTCTTGCCGAAAAAGGGGGCTGGGAAGAATTGAACCTGAAGAAGCCCGCTGGCGCTGCTGCCACAAGTGCAAAATCGAAGCGAAAGCGGGCAACAGGTGCTGCCGACGACGGGGAAGATAAACCGACCCCCAAGAGACGCAACGTTCGAGGCAAATCTGCAATCAAATCCACACAACGGAAAAAACAGCCATCGGAGGCTCGAAGCGAAAGTCCGCTGACAGAACTAGAAGATGAGGAGGAAAATCAGAAAATACAATCCGAAGAACCTAAACCTAAAACCCGGAAAGCAGCAGGAAAGCCCAAGATGGTCACAGAGCCTCCAGAAGGTGCTCGGCGAAGTAAGAGGAACAAAGTAAACAATTAATAGCTGATAACGCTAGAGCCACTTCCATCTATAAACAGTGCTAGATATTGTTGCCAGTTCTCATCGCTTTCAAATTTTAGATATGCCGGCTCTCCCACATTTTGTTAGCCAAACGAAAGAAGTACAAAACGAAATTGGCTTCTGACATATCAACAGCAGATCATGTGCTGAGGAATGTTTGGCTTCATAATTATTTCATCAGCAACATGGCGCAGCCGGTAGCGCGCAGGGCCCATAACCCTGAGGTCATTCGATCGAAACGAATTGTTGCTATCTTTTTACAATTTTCGACAACCACCAAGTATCGCTTCTCCGTCGTCCTATATACCATTTCAATTTTTGGATCAATCATACAGATTCATACTACCAGCGGTTCCCTGATGACTAAAAAGGTTCGATTCGAACGATGTTGCGGTCGCGTCAGGGCGTACCCGCTGTTTTCTTGTGGAATCGGGCTCGGTGAAAGCATTTGGGATGGGTTCGTCCGGACTGCACATGGTCGCAACAACCACGCGTTCTTTGAGATAAACCAGTCGTTTCTTCGAATTCCACCCCTCGCCCGAACCACCAGTAGACCGATTGCCGTCCGGAGTAGGTTCGAATACCTGAGATGCGAAAGGAAGGAGCTCCACGACATACTGAGTCAGAGTATCAGTCCTGGTTCTATGGACAGTTGGTTGGGATATCGTACCTGGATACCGAACCCAGAGAACCCACAGGAAGGCTGAAGGTCGGGCGGGAGGTGTATCTCTCCCTCTAAATATCTTCTCTGGGGCTCTTGAGGGACATCCTTCGGAGGGACCCACCAGACCACCTGGACCACCTCTTCTTTTTGCGTTGGGCTCTCCATGACTTCCTTGCTGGATGGGAACGCATCGTCGGAGGTTAGGATGTTGCTGGTATCGCCAGCAGTCGCAACCCCATCTTCCTGATCTGAATTAGTGGAAGACCCTGAGCCAGACCGTGGTCGTCTCTCGGTGCCATCCGACAGACTCATGCTCCTTTTGCGATGGATGACCGGGACGGTCCCTGCAATTGTGCTGCTTTGGGGTATCAAGTTCCCGGACATGCCTGTTGAGACCTCGTCAACCGAAGTGACTGAGGGTTCGCCTCCTTGCCGGTAGTGCAGGAGTCTTGACAGCTTCACTCGGGGGGCTGCTTTTGGAGTGGCAAGAATGTTCAGTGCTGAAGAATCCTGTGCCGTCATGACCAAGTAGCACGGAATCACGGTCCCTCGGGCGTATACCAACTGGATACGTGCAGACATGAGCATGTAAACTCCAGAGATTATATAGCGACGAACGAACCGGTTCGGCGAGCGATAACGTGCATTCTATTTCGACTTTCCTCTCTTTCTGAAGTCGTCCCGTGATTGTGACCGGAGAGAGTGCACGCCATCCTCGTGGATCCGCCAACGGACCTCTCAGAAACGCCCCTTCGCGGTACGAGTTTCGTCGCGCCTTTGAAGATGGAGGAGGCCAGAATGCCGGGATATAAACGATGACTGTCTTCAGCCTGCAAACCAAATACATCAGTATCAGTTCGTATCTCTGGCCGGGACGCAAACTCACTTGCTATCACCACGAAATCGACCATGTGAGATATACACCACCAACTCATACTGGGTATTCGCACTAATATGGTGTTCCAGAAATGACGGAGGGAGAGGTTGAACATCCTCGACATTCTTGCCTTTGCGTTTCAGCCCCTGGGACACCGTCGGAAAAACACTAGAGGGCATGGCCAATGCCGGGGTTATAGAGCCAAGGTCGATGGAAGATTCAAGGGCCCCAATTACTTCCTCTGGTTTCGACCTTTCAGATTTCTTCGATTTCGATTTCGACCGTCGCTTGCTTGCTGACGACGTTCGGGTTGGAGACTCTGTAAATGGCGTTATTTCAGACTCATTCCTAGGCACCTGCGCATCACTTGGCCGAGGCCCTGAACCTGAATTGCTTCGAGATGTCTTTTTTCTTGTGAAGAGAAAGCTGGCTATACCGGATTTTCGTTTCGGGGGGTCCATAGTGGGTGACGGATCGTTGCCCTCAGGCAGCACCGCAGCAAGTCCAGGACGAGGTCTGGCATCCTCAAGGGAACCGTCAGACCGCGGTCGCTCCTTCGTGAACACCCGCGGCGAGAAGGGCGGTGGGTCAGTGCTAGGAACAGGTTCTGAGCGACGCTTTGAATCCAACGACCCTGCAGTCGGAACAGGGAAAGGGGAGCCCAGACGAGCGTCGATGAAGGGGGTAATGCCGGGGCTGCCACTGTTAGGACTCGATTTCATCGGTGAAGGTGACCGTGCCGGGCTCGGGCGCTGTTCCTCCTGGATGGAATTCAATGCGGACGGTATCCCTCGTTGGGCTTGAGTCGGGAATCCAGGGCTGACAGGCAAAAGTGTCACCATATCCACATGCCCAGGAAACGGGAATTTGAATGGGAAGGTGTACTGCCCCTGCAGCTTGCCTTCAAACTTCTTTCCGTGGGGTTCTTGAAGATTGGGGGACTGTGGGTCCCCGTATGTACGATCCCATAGCGTTATTGAGGTGTCGAGAAACGGATCAGAGCCACCATGGAGATAGCTTGTAATAAGCTTGCCCCTCAGCTGCCAAACCACAACACATGAGACAAAGTTTACCGCAAGAGGAAGAACAAGAGGCTCACCGCTAGCCTTATCGATGTTATGTTTTGTGGACTGCTCAGGGACAAGGCGAGGTGACCTGAGACATCGTCTCCGGTGTAGAACCTTGGAAGTCGTCCGTGCTTCGAACCTCCAAGGGAAGGCTCCGTTCCTTTAACGTGCAAAGTAGCCCAAGGTGCTCCCTTGCTCTTTCCTCCACTGCGAAGGTGGAAAAAATGCTGCGTCCTGTCTTCGCCAATTTCGTGATCCTGGTCCTCCGATACCCCCAAAACACTGGAGTATTGGGGCGGGGCAAGCCCGTAGAACCTCTCGGCACCCGGTCCTAGCTGTCCATTAGTCGCTTGAGTTGTATATGTTGGCGCTATTGAGACATTGGCCGCGTCGCTGAGCTGAGCATTGTACTGGGTCGTAGGTGGTGACGCTGGGCCAAGGTGAAAGCTAGATTCTGAATCCTGGTTGAAGCCGATGGAGGAGTAACGCGGGAGGTTGGTAACATTGCTGTAGACTGACACGCCGGCCAAGGCCCGTCTTGAAGTACCGAAAAAGCTCCTGAAGCTTTGGTTATCGCTCTGTGAATCGCTGGAAGTCGTCCCACCGCTTCTGGATGCACCAGATGACGATGATGGCTCGGACTGTGAAGACATCGCCTGAGTCGAGTTTCTTCCCTATAAACTCTGGATCCTAGGATGCGGGTCAGGTTGAAAGACAGTCGAGTTGCATTATAGTGATGGATCATGGCGCTTAAGACAATACCGTCCGAACTGAGTAGTGCCATCGTGACAGGACCATGGGGACAAAACTGGCACGTAAAGAATGTCTGGCGAAAATGAATTCGATTCGCTTAAAACCCCATACTTGGTCTGGTTTGCATACCAAGCGACGTGGCGCTCCATGTAGTCCAGGAAGTAGCTGAGCCAATATAGGTTGAATTCAAGTAAGTCGATCCAAAACCAGGCCAGTGCCATATGCCCTCGCAGTGTCCGGAATTTCGGAACGCGCTCATGATGGCAGAAACCAGACGATGGTAAATCGCGGTGATATCAGCTTGCAGTAACACAATGCGGAGAGATACGAATGATTGATTATTATATGTCGATTGTGTTGGTGTCTAGCTATAAAAACAGCACTGTGTAGGTTATGTCTGTGGGTATATAATGTGCATGAATGCTGAAAGCTAGGAGGGCATTCCAATAAAGTACAACTTGAGGTGGCTACCGAATAGTCCAATCAAGTACCAAAGAATGAGCGAAGGGCGTTTAGGCCTTTAAGCACTCGAGATGGTGACGGTGGGCAGAGGAGCAAAGACACCACCCGTCTGTCGCACTCGCCAGTTGCCCTCTTTACCGGAAGCGAGGACAGCTGCATTGCGATTCAGCTGAGTGAAGTTTGCATGTCGGGTTCGGCTATTGGTATGGCGAACCCGGCGGGGTGTGGGTGACCTCGAGCGCTTGAGGGCTTCCGCAGTGGTCGGAACTGCAGCAGCTGCGGGTAGTTGCAGTCGATTTGACTTTGGGGCCGGTGCGAGTTTGATAGGTGTCGAAGGAAGTTCCTCCGTAGTAGGTGACGACGATGGGGAACTGGAGCTATGTCTCGAGCTTTCGCGCGATCTTGACCTTCGGCCATCGTTGTCATTGTGCTGCCGGGTAGCAGCACGGTGCTGAATGAAGTGGTATTCGAGAGACTTGCGCATCTTGCGGTTCATGGCGATTTCTGGGCAGGTTGCGCGCAGATAATTGCGCATGGCCTCGTTGAGTCTTTCCCAACCGAGGTGAGGTTCCGAGTTGGTGCTTGCAGCCTCGAAAGTCGCGTTCGCATTTGGGGAGTTGGGAGTGGAGTTGACACCGTGAGTGTGAGTTGGTGGGGCGAGCAGTAATAGTGCTTCGCGACTGTATACCAATGGGTTGGGCACTGAAGACGATAATGAGCCAAGTCTAGTTGTTCCGAAGCGGTAAATGCACGTACCATTCAAGGGTCGAGTCGACGCCGAACTGTTCCTTCTGTGAACGGGAACATATCGACCACCAGACAATGAGTCATTGGAAGAGGCCATGATAGAAGACATTGGATGTAAGGTGGGTTGGAGAAGAGGCTTAAGTACCGCGGCGCAAGCTTGAGCTGTTGAATATCCTGTGAAGGGGATGGGGTGTAAACCAAGGTTCAACAGCAGCCTTATATATCATCATGACTCGGCGACAAGACTGCGACATTGGGTTTCCGAAGTTGGCCTGTTATGGTGTGATTCAACCAGGGATGGCTGTGGAATCTGACGGAGACCGGGAGAGAGCTCTAGAAAGCCGTAGAACAGTGTTGATACGTGTTCCACGACATCATTGTTCGGGCCAAGATCTAGACGGATCTCCCATGATCTTTCCCCGAGCCGGTTCCAAAGGCTTCCGTCATATGTCATCACGATGCTTGCACAGCAGTCAGCAAGGCCCGTTACTCAGCGAAGCACTTCATTCAAAGCCTGCTGCGTAAGTCGGTTGGAACGCTGCAATTCTCGTGACTATGATGTTCTAATGGCTCATAAATCTAGAAATTGGGGTTGTAATCCCTTTGGTAAGACGAAATGAGCAAGAGATGCGACGATGTTGAATACTCACGCCGAGACACCTACTCTCGAAATGATGGACCT